CTTGCCAATAAAAATGAATAAGATATAGAGCATGACTCTCTAAACAAATATTAAGTGACTCACCAAACAGAACAGCTGCAATTCTAAGCTGCCTTTCTGGATACTTGGGGAAGAACCTGTACTCCTCGAATAGATTGCCAATCATGCAGTCAAAAATTGACTGTTCCCTGTTGATGATTGTTGCATTACTATCACAGATTACAAGACCCATAACAATAAGGCTATGAAATTACTCAAAAGGCTGCAAAACTCAAAACATAAACCTTCCAAGAAAAAAGATATGAAGATCCCTAGGGAGTGAGAATCACAATCTCAATCTGAAACCCGCACCAGCCAACCAGAAAAACTCAAAATGGCCTTGTACATGCACTCACAAACAACTGACATCACCATGATCCAAGAAAACACCTTTTGGAAAACAGGCAACCTCCTATTCAGAGACTCGAGCCTACTGCACAAATTCATCTTTTAATTCAATTTGGGAAGATAACCAATTCAACCAAAGAACTCTTTAAATCCATCTCTCTTACTTAAAGAAGGTCAATCCAGTAGTGAAATGGGATCCATAAGTGGTACAGAACCCTCCATACTGACATTTAACAAAATGCCAAAAAGAATAATACCTCGCCAGAGAAGATTCCTTGAATCTAGCAAGCATTTGAACCATTGCATCTATTGTCAACTGGCCTGAGAACATCTGATGGAAATAAGAGTTTGCCTCGGCCTCAACATCATCTGAATATCCATCAGGGGCAGATGTGTCAGCAGCACCACCATTCTGCCGCCTAGGATTTGAATCCACAATTGTTGCCTCCAACTTTTCCATTTCCTCAGGAAGTTTGGTATTGAGAATCAGGGGGCTGTGAGCCTTAAGAGCCTACAATATCAAATCTCAATTAAACAATATCACGATATGCCTACCAAATCAAGAGGCAACTTATATAGATTTGAACCTTCAATATGGTGGAACTAGTATCGAAGCCATAATTCCCAGCAGCATTCCCATGAAGAAAAGGTTTTCCAGAAAACTCATGTGAAGCTCCAAGCTGAGTTTCCTTTAGAAACTTGAGACACTCCTGAGTTACACCGTAGAGTATAAATTAGAACAAACAATTCATCTATAGAACTGAGTATTGACCCACTGGGAGCAATGGTAACTGCAAATAAATCAATTACCTCAAAAAATGAATCCTTGAATGTCTCCAAATTGCTAGTCAACCAGTTCTCAAGGTCCACAAACTCACTTCGTGAAGCTAGGGCAGCCAGTCTTATGCCTAACCGGAAAGGAATCAACTCCAACACTGATGACAAGATCTGGAATTGGAGAAGAAAGAAAATGAGGGCATCAGTATCAAAATGTACAAAAGGTAGAACCAAATACGAGAAGAATATGAACTATTTAATAGTATTTACAAAAACAACTTGGTATCAAGTTGCATGCCTTTTAACATTTTCAAAAGAACACAGAGGCAATACAGAAGAAATAAGTGAAAACTTCATCAGTAGGTTTTACATGTGGTTCTCATAAGAAGTAAAGTCTACAAACCAATATACTCTAGGATTAAAGATTCAAAGTAAACAGTTACCTTTAGTTCCTGACACAGAACTACAAGTTTGTCCATGATCTCAGGATCAGCATTTTGAACATCCACAAAACCCCTAACAACAAGGCCAGGATTTACATGCCATAGGTACAGGATCATGCCAGCACAGCTGGAGCTTTTGACGATCGCAGGGAATACGGTAAAAGACACCTCGTATTGGAGCAGGTTATAGGCAGTCTGCATGCAAGTACAATTGATCAACCAAAAGGGATACCATCAGAACCGAAAGAAGATACCATGAATTAGTCCAGGAGCTAACATTGACATGAGACATTCCCAGAAGTAAGATCTCTGGGCAATGCTCAAGAGGATATTGCAGCAAAGCTCGCACATAGCTGGCATGACCCTTCTCGGCTAACTGACAAAGAACTTCTAAAAGGTCGAGACACATCCATGCGTGATTGGCACATCCAACTTGAAGCTTGTGACCGTTAACTGCATCCATATAAGCCTGCAACAAACAGCTAATAGAAGTCAGAATCCTGCCAGATAATTCAGCAAGAATTCAAAAAGTAGCACAGAGAGAGGGCTCCACCAGCTGCCTTCCAGAGTGAGCAAAAGTTAACACTTCAGGCGGTGCTAAAACTGCGTATTTGAGAAGAGATAGCTGACCCTCAGTATTCTTCCAGGGAGACCCACAGATAGCATGTAGTGGGAATAGATCCTAAGCCAAACAGTAAAGGATAATCAGACCACGCCAGGAGAATAGGTCGAAGCATAGGCTAACAAATACATATACCTATACCCATATATATACACCCGTCACTGAAAAATATACCTGGCAAGCAAAACCATAGACGGACATAAGGAAAGAAAAAGCCTCTTCATTTGGAATGTAGAATCCCTCATGATCCAAGCCTTCAATTACTTTAATCCAGTTGGTATCTGGTGCCTACATCCATATCATAAAGTTACCAACTGAAGTAAGAATCCCATATAGTTTATATCCAATTAAGAGCACATGTGTAGCTAGGCACTCACAAGCTGCTTGATTGTTCTTACAAAGACTCCAACATCCCAAGAGCTCACAGTTGCTAGATCATTTGAAATATTGTAGCCAAGAGCAGTACTAAAGGTTGAAAATGTACTCTGGTTATCCTCCAATCCAGCCTGGTTGCATACAATTTTTCCAAGAATCTTAGATACGGTAATCTCAATCAGTGGTTGAAAAGGGGTCAATATCTCTATGCAATGAGTGGCATCCGACATGCATTCATATCCTAATTCCTTCACAATATCCCCCACGCTCATTTCCTTCTCCATGTCAGCCAAAATTGCATCAAACTCACTTTCTTTGCTTTCATATAACCAGTCAATGGTTCTGCAGAGAATACAAGAAACAAGGAAAAGGCTAAAAAGAATCAGGAAGCCACAGGTACAGCCCAAAATAGATGACATGGTGCCACTGAAGCAAAGATAGGAAATAGAACCTTAAAAAGTACGCTTCACGTAATTCTTCTGAAAGTAGTGGAGATAAGACAAATGGTATAACATCATTAGATTGCATCAGTGATAGCATTTGCAGAAATTGATCAACATGCTTCGATAGGCCCTCCGAGCGCTGGAGGAACATAACAATATTCTGGATGTGCTCTGTAGAGGCTATAGAAACAGGATCCGAGCAGAGTTCCTCAATCAGAGACATGCAGAACTTTTTTGCTGCAAAGCAAAGATGTTTAGAGTCATGCGACACTATAACAGGACTTAAATTTGTGAAAGGAAACGGAAGTCTATATAAAAGGTACTTCAAAGCTTACGCACCGTGCATCCTAGTATCAAGATTATCTGAATCAGACAAAGCAAGGCCAACTCCAATCTTTTCATGTAGAGTTAGGTGCAGCGTACTAGAGAGAGTCTCCAGCAGTTCCTCACACTTTTCTACACTACGTACAGACTGACAAAACACTGTAGAGAAATTTGGTGAGTCCATCAGAAACTTGAAAATGGACTCAAGAACTGGTTCAACATGGATGTTCTGCAGATCAGTCCTGCGGAAGTAAAGATGTTCCAAGCAGATCTGAAGCAGCAGAATGCTTCCTTCGACACCATAATCACAGAACTGCCACAAAAGAAATCATAGGAGAGCAAATTAGTCAGAAGAACAAAGCCCTGAAAGTTTTTCCCTAATGAGTGAAACTACCCTAGCTAACCATTCGGTTAACATCAACATGTCACCAGGTAAAAAGGATTTTAATTAAATAAGTTGAAGAATGAATCGAAGTTCCATGCCAAAAGCCCCAAGGAAAAAAAAGATCCAAAACGTACAAAGAGTGGCTTCCATCCATTGTGAAGGTCAGATGAACCCTCCATTACCATAACAACGTGCAAGAATTATAACTAAACCATTGTGCTCACTGAACCGAAAGGGACAAAAACAATTCCGAGAAGCTTATCAATCTCTGCATCTTCGCCACGTTAAAATAACCCACGACTGATATCGATCTTAGCCGACGATAAATAAACTCGGTAAACAACTAGCAGGAATTAGAAAAAGGAAACTATAGGGTTTGCATATGTACGAATTGCACAGCGAATCAAGGATGAGTGCAGGAATTAGGACTCGGGAGAGGACTTGAGAGCAGAAGTGAGGCTGGGGGAGCACAGGGAAGTACCTGACGTAGCTCCCGGAAAACAAATTCGACGTTCGTTCCGTTCAAGCTCTGAAGCAAGAACCGAATCTGGTTCGGGACAGTTGGAGATAACTTAGGCATTGAGGAAGAACTGGAAGGCAAGCAAAAGCTTTTCTAGGGCTTCTGGCTAGGATGAGGCGAAATGCAGGAGAATGGGGTCACGATGGTGAGGATTTCGAAGATTTTGCCAATACGAAGCACTGTTAGCGATTGAGACGGGGAGCGACTGCGTACGAGAGAGCTTTTCGTCTATTTCTAACCGCGCACAAGTGTCTTCTTTTCGTATAGGAAGACGGACGTCAAAGCCTCTTAATTCGTACTCGCATCAGGCCCGGCCCGTTGGCCGGTGGAATTCGATGAAGCTGAATTAAGATTCACGTATAGAACCAAGAAATGAATAAACTACCTGAGAAGGAAGCAACTCAGTTCCCATAGGTTCCAGCAGCAGAATCCCTGGAATTGCAAAATGATGTTCTCCAAAAGTTGTAGTTTAGATTACCTGCTGCTAAGGAAAATAGAAAACCTAGGTAGTTTTGCCAAATACATGGATAATGAACTACTAATGTAATGAACATGAAGAGAATATTATTCCCCATTCAAATTCATATTGTCTTTGGAAACTGACAAAAGGAATTATGTACAATATAAAGTAACAAATTTCATAAAATAAAGCATGCATAATGAACTCATAAATGAGCAATAAAATGCTGGACATAAGTTTCACAACCAACAACTTAGTAATAATAGAAATTTCTAAAATCCAACACTACTTCTCTTCCTCATCAGAATCAACCACTTCGGCCTTCTTCTGCCTCTTGAAGTTATTCCCTTCGGTAGCTTCAGAACTTGCAGAGCTATCCTCTAAGTTTGCTTCAACCAAATCAGGGCTACTTTCTTGGCTGTTGCCAGGAAATGAAGTTTGGGATGCAAGTGTCTCCTCACTGATTTGCTGCAAAAGTTATTAGAATAATAAGAGAAAGGAATGAATGAATCCTATTTCTAAATGAAAATGACACTGAACCTGTAGTCATTACCGCAAGAGGATCATGTTCTATGCAAGCCACAGTATACTCGGCTTGAGGGTTTGAGAAGTTGAATTGGGTTAGCTTAACATGCACTTTCAATTTCATGCTAACAACTTGCTCAATCTGTCGGGGAAGTGGTTCCTTCTTCCTCTGATTTCCTTGGAATAAAACATCAGCCATAACACCAAAGAAACGCAGTCCTTCGCGCTCTAAAATTGCAAAGTCAGCATCACCAGAATCATCCTGCAGCTGAAGCTTCACTCTATACCTATATTAAAAATCAAATACAAATCATGCGTGAGTAAAGTCTAAATCTGAAGCTACGATTCAAGTTCAATCTTCCTATCAAATTGTCATAACTAAGACAAACAAAATTATGTTGTTCATTTGCTATTAGTTTGTTCTATCAATTGTAGTAGTTGTCTGAAGGTGGTTGTTGTTGTTTTTTGAATAAAGACACAAATACCAGTTAAACACAAATGACAGTAAGCTGCAGGTTATTTCATTTCACAAACCACATAATAATTTGATTGTGTTAAAAACAACTGGAAACTCCAAGTATAAGCAACCCATTGCAAGTTAAATCTATTTCTGTTTTGATTAAATCACATATATTACAATCTATATGAACTGTAATTTGCTTACAAAGCCCCTATAAATGAAAAGCAAACTACATAACTCATTCTTCATAATCGGAACCACCAGCTACCAAATATGATCCTAGCAATACTACTGAAGGTCAAAAGCAAGCACATTGCAACATTGTGACAGTAGCTACAAAACTTACTTGGCAGCTGCACTTTTAGAGGTGGTGTTGTAGTGTCCGCAAAAATACTCATCCAAATCATCTTCCACTTTGCGAGGGCAGCCAACACAGCCCATGTAAAACCAATTGGATCGTACTTGAATGACTTGACCTTCAATAGCAAACACTTGATCCTGAAATTTACAGAAAGTTTAACTCAATAATAGCTATATGAGAAATCTCAAATGATTTTTATGACTGGTAAAGAAAAACTTACAATCTTCTCTTCCATAGTTTTGAATTCATTAAGCTGAGCTATGGAAATTTCTTGAATCTCAGGAGCTGGTTCCTCAGCAAGCAGGACAGGTGCATTCAACCTGCCATCCCTAGAATTTAGGAAAAAATGCTATTAAATTCATATCCTAACTACTAAAATCAGCAGGTAACTAAACACACAAACCCCAAATTAAACTTTTGCACTTCTGGTATATCCAGATTTGCCTTCAAAACTGTAGCCCCTATGGACGATAGACAAAGCTCCCCTATTATAAGAGAAATGGTGGTATTAGTTTACTATAACAGATTTGTGAAGGCACTAAACTAAAAAGGTTTGATTGAATATCACCTTTATATTCGTCAACAAAAACAGAGGTAACAGTGAGAATCACTGGTCGATCTTCACTGTGGGAGACAATGTCATCTACTTGGTTGCCAATACTTCCCCATAAAGTCACCCTTACCATCTCACCTCTGTCGTTAAATAAACATTGAGCAAATTAGAAATATTCTGAAAGATGCATAAACAAAAGCAATGAAGCAAAAAAGCTGAATTCCAGGTACGTACTCAATCAATTTGAGTGTGATATCTTTCCAACGTTTTGTTGCAGAGATTTTGGAGGTGACTGCTGAATGTTGAACCAATTGGCCAACCACATCTGCAATATAGAAGAACATGATAAACTTAACATTTGAAAGCGGGCAGTTTGTACATGATCACCAACAAAAGTACCACCTACCCGATAAATTCTTCTTGTCATACAGCCTCGGCATCATGTCAGAGTGCTTGAGGAAATAAAACTTGTAGGACAGTATGCTTGGACAACTTTCAAATGTTGGACCAAAGTTGCTGAATCAAACTCCAACATCAAACGATTGGGTACTGGCCTGAATGTGTTCTTCGTAAGAGCAACTTTGAAATGTCTAATCTCATAGACCTCTTGCTCTTTCAGAGTCGTTTCAAACTTTGGAATCGGAAATGGAGGAATCATAGCCCAAATATCTGACCCCTAAAACAGAAATAAACATAAATTAGGGATTGATTGTTATAGTAGAATTAGCTATGAAACTGGTTTGAAGAAATTGTACCTCTGAATCGATGAGGACCAAGTCCATATGCAGAAGCTTTCCAGTGTTGCAGTTTGTAGCTATCCACTTCCGAGAGACCCGAGTTTGAATGATCCATTTCCGGGAATTGGTGGAGAGATCCTTCAGCAGCTGCGGTGTCATCTTGTTTCTCAATTGCTTATGGGAAAAAGAGGAAGAGAATGGTTGTAAGGGAAAGGTTCTTTTTGCTGGAAGAACTTGTCCTTTTATAGGCTCCTCCACCAGTGAAACCATCCTACCCACGTTTGTAACCACCCAAATCTACAAAAAAGACGGTTGTAAACTGCCAAAAGAGATCGGTGATAACCGTCTCCAGCCACTTCCTTGTGGGCCTTTCATTTTGCCGATAACAATGGTGATAACTGCATACCACTTCTATGAAACCCAAGTGAATCCCCTGCAAATCGAACAAATAATTTCAAATCTTGTTCTGCCCTGCTAAGCCACCACTCGATAAAACAAACACTCCATAAATTCTAAAATCAGAGAACCAAATGTCAGGCTAGGGACAGCTTATATACCTGACTTAGTCTTCTGGTAGAGAGTCTCCTCGAAGACGATCAGGTCGTTGAGGTATTGGAGCACACCAGGGGCGGTGAAGAGGAGCTCACGGAGACGACGACAGTTCTCCTCTTTATTCTCATCTGTTCAATACGAACCCAAACAATCCAATCAAGTATTCGTGATTGACCTATAAATCAACTATAACAATTTCATATGCGTAATTAACCAAACCCCCTGAAATTTTAACAAATGAAAAGCGGAAATCAGTAGCACATCGAAGAAAGAAGACTCCCCATTAATTAACCCTTCCAAAACGTACCCAAATACTGCTTTGCTATCAACGACGTGACGGCGGCCATCGCTGCGGCGGAAGGGATTTTGGTAGACATTGGTGCGGCGGAGAGTTGGTCCCAGAACTCCGGTGCGGCAGACAGAGAGAGCAAACAATTGAGCGGCGGATTTAGGTCTGAACGCCCTCTCCCTCACTGAAACAAATCCGATCAGCAAATACCAATAGCCTCTTCTTCCTTGACGATGGGCTGGAAAATAAAGATGGGCTTTACTTAGCCCATTACAAACAATGAAATTTTCATCAGAATATAAGAACACTGCTAATGGTTGGGCTGGATTAAGAAAAAATTATACAGATTTGCTTCAATCTGCTCGATGAAAACCCATTGAGTTATGGATTGTTAATTTTGTCCTTCATTTCATTGGATCCATTTCATCATGTTTGATCAAAGTTAAAATAATTTTCTTTTATTCCTTTAAGTTTCCTCTACAACACCTCAGAGCATAACAAACAAAAGATATAAAACGGGCCTTCTTCTTATTCTTCTTATTGGGCTCAGCCTTCATGGTTGGGTCAAAGAAAATTATAAAATGGCTTTGTAAGCCTTCCAGTCGTCTAATGCAAAACGAATGCCAAAACAATTCACCAGTTCTAAAAAATAGAGAACCCTTGCAAAAAAAAAAAATCTCAAAAGCACAGAACCACAAAGCTAAAACGATTAATAACCAACTATTTACAAATCTAAAATTGGAAGTGTCTTCAAGGCAAAGCTAAAAGCTCATAACCAAGCTACTGATACGAAGAACTGAAATTCTCAGTGTCTGAACACAACCACTGAAAAAGATGAACTAAATTCTAAACTAGAAATTATTTACAGTACAATCGCCAAATCCTTCCCTGGTCTTCTCTTAGCCACTGCTGATTTTGACAACCACATGATGCACTGCTTCAGGATTGTAAAAACGGGGAACAGATTTCACCGAGAACTGAAACTTCTTGCCTTTCATTGACTTCAAATTCACATCAAAGCTTGACCTCTCGAACTGCAGGTCATTCTTGAAAATGGAGTCAGTCATTGATCTGAAACTATTGCTGGTGAAAATAAAATCACAGGAGTCATGTTCATCTTTCACTTTCAGCTCAACCATGAAGCTTTTTTTGCGATCAGACCAGTACGCATTGACCTCAGAAACCTCTGCTGTAACTTTGTAGGTCACCCCCTATAAATGATGAAATAAGATAAAATCAAAAACCACAACTTCTCTTCAAAAACCTTACACAAATCTGAAATGTGAAAAAGGCATCTCAATAAAACCTTGAGGGGACCATCGACATTCAAATCTTCCAGCAACTTGATGGAACTTGGGACTATAAAACTCTGACATATCTCACCTACCTTGCGAGGAACACCATTGTCACTGCTATAAAATGGACACCCGAATAGAATAAAAATGATTATTAACTATGTTAAAATGACTAATAAAAAACGGAATAAATTGAATCTTATAAGAGACATACAAATCAAGCATGTCATGACCATCAGGATAGTGCAAATTCCCATAGAGTTTAGAAGCACGTGAACTGGAAAAATAGTACTCCCCTGCGAATTGTTCCATATTATCAAATTTGATTTAACATAGAAAATTGAAAATGTGGTACTTGTCTTGTGATAACAAAACTACTAAATAACTAACCATGATACTTGTGGACAATAGCAGAGGTCAAAATGAGGACAACTCCAGTTTCAGGTTCATCCTCAAGAAACAGCTCTAGTTGGTCAACTATTGAGTCCCACACAATGACTTTCACAACTTCACCACTATTCAACAGGAAACACAAACCAAATGAGTACATGTCAATGACAACATAGGCAATGCTAAAATTTAAACATTCAGTCTATTGATACTCACTCAGTCAACCGAATATGAAGGTCTTTCTTCTTGATAGAAACATAGTCATTACCAAGCTGTTCTGCAGGCTGACTTTGCACCAATTGACCCACCAAATCTGAAACACGAATATATTTAGGTTACAAAGGTAATGCAAGACAAAACAACAAAAGCTAAGATCAACAGAACAATATAAAATGGCAGACCTGATAAGTAGTTTCGATTCTGGAATGCAGCTTCAAACTGATCAGTCTTAAGAAATCTGAAACTAAACTTGGGGATTACTTCAGAATCCACCATTTCTTCACAAACAGAATCGGGCAAAAGCACAATGCGAAAATCTGGTGCCGTGACACGGAAGGCAGTGGTGTTTCTTTGAACCAAGAAGTTAGCAAATCTGTATACTGCGCCTTCCCTCATAATTCCACCGAACCTTGGAAATGAAATCCTATGAATAACAACCTCCATTTCATAACCCTGGAAACAGAAACAAAAACCCACATTACAATCCATCAAAAAATTCAGAAACAACTAAACGCTAAGATTGAGACACTTACCGCAGCATCAACAATCATCATCTTGCGAAGAACACTTTCTCCATAGCCATTTTGCTTGACATCCCACATCCGCAGCACTCGAACACGCACTTTACAGTCAACATCTTCAACCCGTAAGTCAGCCAATGGACGGAAAGCCATGATATTGTTTCTCAAAATAGATACAAAAAAATGAGATGCTTCTGATTTCCGAAGAAGAGTTCTGTGAAGTTTGAGCAAAAATTACAACTTGATGGTCTATTTATACTCCCAGGAAAGAGAGTTAATGCCACCAAAATAGGAGGGATTGAAGATAACTGCCACCGAATCTGTTGTATGCAAGTAGTGGAGGTGAGGCCTTGATCCCAGGAAGTGGAGCAAAATGGAATAATTATTTTTGAATTCACTTTTTCTAATTTCCATATTCCCGCCATAATTATTATTTATGTATACTAAAGATTATTTAGCCCAACCAAATTCATAACTTCTAATTCCATTTAATTAAAGTAACTCTGAAAAACTACTTAGTCCAAAGAGCATTAATTTTTTCGGTCCATGAGATATATGGAACCTGCAATACTGTTAGCGTCCAAGCAGTAAGCTCAACCAAGCATACAAAGACTGGTTTTTTTAATTTCAAAATCCATATTTATTTGACAATGACATCCAAAACTGTGTGTTTATGAATAAACCATTTTTAGTAACGTGAAACCCTTCCACCAGGAGATACAAAAAACCTACCACTCTAATCATGAAAAGATACATACAGAGTAAGAGCACACACTGATGAAGACATAACCTCCAAATCAAGTGCTATAAAAAAATTTAATAAATATAAACCATGAAGTTCTACATCATTAACCATTCTCAACCTGTGAAATTGCCTAATCTGTCTACTAATCTGAGCTGGAAATTTCAATGCAAAATCTGTATACCATGTATAAACCCCATGTCCCCAAACACTCTGTCTCTCTCTCCAATATCGATTCCTATCCAAGCATGACCTTCGGTAGCGAATTGCTTTCTTCTCCAGATCACGTATGAGTTCAACCTGAGCTCCACATCGAAATAAATTAACAAATGATTCTCATGTAAAACCATACCAAGTTGGATCAGATGTCATCTTGGGGTATACAATATATGTAATGTAGCATAAATGTATTACCTACTTCTGGAAGGAATCAAATTCATCAGAGCTCAGAGAGCCATCGATATTGGAATAGAAGAGTTGCATCAACTCCTCTTCATCCTCCCCAGGGGCACCAAGTTCTTCCATCACTTCCATCAGTTATTCGATGCTAATTCACCCATCTCCGTTCTTGTCCAGCAGCCCAAATACTCTGGCTCTCTCTCCAATCTCGATGCCTATCCAAGCACAATTTTAGCACAAAATGTCCACAAATTGAATAATTACAAAAGAACTCAGTTTTACTTATGGCCTATCCAAGCATTCCCCGACCACAGTTGACAATGTATAACATCACACAATCCGCTAACCTAACCCATAAAATCCATTAACGACTCCACAACAGCTAGGTTTTGACACTTCTGACATTCCCAGCTGTTCCAGATTCAAGTTAGCTTGCAAGTTCAGCTTTCACCAAAAGGATTGAACACCGCAAAGAAGAGTTCAAGTATGTATCAAAGAAGTTCCCATGTTAAATCCATTCAAATGACAAATTATAAATTGCTAATCAAAGTATAAAAGTAACAAATGATTTGACAACATCTGATACTACTTGCACATGAAAAATGAAGTAACAAATAAAACATCCCATTGAACACAACTTCAACAGAAAAAATAGTTTTTATCCATGTACCAATGAATAAATATAGAAGTCATAAGATAAGACACAGTAGATGGAGAATGTTGACCAACAAAAGAAGCTACCTACATTCAATCAAATATTTCACGATAAACGATATTCTGCATACTGTTCAGCTCAACACCATTCTGATCGCAGCTCAAAATGTTCATTCCGTGCTTTGTAGTAACACGAGATAATGCAACATATAATTGACCATGAGAAAAAACTTGCTTCTGGAGACACAAACCCACATGTTGCAATGTTTGACCCTGTCTTTTATTTATCGTCATTGCAAAGCACAATGCAATGGGATACTGTCTGTGTTCCAATGTAAAATTCAAACTCTTGTAATGATGTGTAAGGGTCATTCTAGGCAAAAACACCCTGTCACCAGCATGAGAACCGGAAATAATCTCTAGCTCAATGCACCAAGTACCCATTGTCTTCACAATCAGTCTTGTTCCATTGCATAATCCACAGGTTTGATCCATATTTCTCAATAGAATAACCAGGCATCCCAATTTTAACTTCAACTCATATTCAGGGAAGTTACCAATCTTCAATGAGTTTAAAAATTCTACTGAGTAGTCAGAATCAACCACATTTTGATGACCCGGATCCATATTAATAGAATCAGAACTATAGTATCTTGTCACTTCACCCGGAAATTGAGCTAGTACATGATTATTAATTGAAAAGACCATGTCATGATGAGGAGCTAAAATAGCACGACCATCAAAGTACCGTACATCACCATGATCATATTGTAAGCCTCTATAAACCACGTCAACAATATCAGAAATGGGATCCAAACTATGTCGTACAGATAACTCATTAGGAATGCAAATCATGGACTCACCAAATATATTTGTGTCCTCACCATCTCCTATAGTAAGAATCCATCTACTGAACTCGGTAAGCTCGCGAGCATCATCTGCAGAGCAACCTTCTCTAGCCAGCCGCATATTATGAACCAATTTCATAATCCTGAAATGACACCATAAATATGATTTTTTGATAGAAGAATTGACAATATCAGATCTTGTGCCTTTGACGATCACTGACAAAGTTTGGCGAAAATCTCCTCCCAGTACAACAGTCATTCCATCAAATGGCAAATCCTCAGAGTGCCTATACTTTACACGCATAATATCTCTCAAAGTTCGATCAAAAGCCTCGATACAATGCTTATGAGACATTGGTGCCTCATCCCAAATAATGAGGGACGACTTTTGAATCAACTCGGCTAGGTCACTCCCTTGTTGAATATGACAGGTTGATTTAGAGTCAATATCCACAGGAATGTGGAATCTAGAATGAGCAGTTTGACCCCCTGTCATCAATAATGCAGCAATTCCTGATGAGGCAACACACAATACGATCTTTCTCTCTGATCGTAATTTTAAACATATTACTTGCCATAAGAATGTCTTTCCTGTGCCTCCAAATCCATCGACAAAGAAACATTCTCCCTTATCAGCATATACAGAAGCCAAGATCTCGTCACATGCTGTTTTTTGCTCAGGATTCAGTTTAGGGTACATAGCATTAAATTGAGATTTAAGCTCGCCACAATTATAATTAAGTTCCTCTGCGAGCATTCGATTGGTAGAACCGACAATATAACTCGTGGATGGACTGGGTAAGCCAGGAAAATCAGATAAAGACTTCCAGTGCCTCTGCAACAACTTATCAACCTCAATTAAGCACAAATCCTGTAGTTCATCATCTGAAAGCTGGAGAGTAGATAATCGCAAAGTTTTTTTCTGCCGATAAAGTATGTCATCACTTAACAGCTCCCAATTTTTATTCCAAAAACTCTTGTAATCTGAGACTGTACAGTGAATCAGAATCGTAACAAAAAGATCGTGAAGTTTATGCCCAGAAGCCCAAGAAGATCCCTCTTTAAGACAGTCATTCCATTCATTATCTTTTGCTAGCAAGCCACGGGCATAACATGCTTCTTGGAAAGAATCCTTAATCACACCATTAACTGTTCTTATATCCTCAAAAGAAGTACAACCTCTAACCACATGAAGTAACATACGCAGGTAGAATCTCTCCTTCTTAGATGGTGGAGAATAATACAATCTCCCAATACACACCCTCGATTTTCTTCGTTGCCATCATTGTTGTGGTTTTTTCCAGACATAATATTCTGGAAATTCAGCATATGTGTATTTTCTTGCCTCTGGAGATAGTTGATTAATTTTCATACATGCCATCAACATCGATAATGCAGCCCGCTGGTTATCAACAACTTCTTCCATAGAAGAATTGTCCTTTGAGACAACAATATTTTCACCAGGTAGATGAAATGGCATTCGAACAACAGAAGGATACGGGCTGTACACATCAAACTTGAAGATCCTCCAACATACCTCCCCAGATGTAATGTACTAACAATCCATATAAGCTTTAATTTCATCAATACACACTGATCTTGAAGAACTTTCAGGCACATTCTGAGAAGTACTCGATGAATCAACATCTACCAACGTTGCAACAGCACGATCAGCAGGCTTGTTAATGTATTTAAACAAATACTTGATAGCCCTATCAAAGAAGAAACACATTACTTAAAATAGTCTCCCAAAAATTAAGTTAAATAGGCAGAAACGAAATTAGGCCAGGCAGCATATGACACACCCTAAAAAAAATTTATACAACTTGAGAAATTTGTATTGGACAGGAAGAAATTAATATTGAATGACGACAAAATAGATAGAATGAATTCTTTATGCAATATTTTATGTTGGGACTTATCTTATATGTTATAACCTGTGCCGAATTCTTAATGCAATAATTTTGGGGATTAAGTTCCCAATATATACAACAAAGGGACTAATAAAAACACATAGCCAAGAGTAAAATTACAGATCAAAGCGGCAAATTATCTGTAGGAAATGTCTTTTGACAACAAATCAATTAATTTTCTATAATTCTTTGTCCCATAAAAACTCAGTTGCATAGAATTATAAGTTCACACAATAGAAATTAAACAAAAGATAGGAAATAATTGTGTAAAGAGTTTGTATCACATACCTTGATTTATTAGAAAATTCAACATTAATATGGCATTGGAAGCGCAACAGCAAATACCGATTATATGGCACAACATTTCGATTGTCTAAGAAACCACCATTAACCTCAAAGGTCACACCTGTATCCCGTCGACGATATTTAGAAAATCCATACTCGTCAATAATTGTCTGATCACAAAATTGTTTTGGAAAATGCTTTGAGTAGGCACCATCAACCATGCATACAACATTTCTATTTGACACTCCACATGGGCCATGCATCATAAATGATGTGACAACATCATATCCCTCCGGGTCTAAAGCACGATCC